ACGACCGTCTCGATCCCTCCTCCTCCCACCGGCAGGCCAATCCCATATTCCGCGTCACAGAACATCGCAGGCGTAGTCCTGTGCGGCAGCGCAGAGAGCAAGTCGCTCAACCACTCAATAAGAACACGAACAGTGCGAAGATCATACGGGCGGTGCTGGAGACGGGATGGCTTCGGCGGAACGTAAAGACTAATTCCACACATATAGCACTCCGCCCCCGTTTAACCCGAACTCCAAGACACCGTCCTTTGGCCTCCGCTGGGGAAGCCCACGTCTGAATAACATGTTGCTCCTGGAAGCCCTTCCCCAGGACGACTGCACACCCAGCGCTCGAGTTACTCAGAGGAGCCGATGGGCCGAAGGGGGCCTCTAATACTAGACGTCCCTGGACATGTCGCCGTAAAACAACACTCCCCGATAATTGCTGCCTCCGATCCACCGACTGAGTTCCAGGTAACAACATCAGGTCGAAATTCGAAGTCTCCACCACCACCTCCTCGAGCCTATCGCCCGTACAAGACTGAGGGTTCCACCCCAATAGTCGGAGTTGCTGCTGCGCCATCGCCGCCCTCAGATGAGCGGCCGCAACTGGGGCATGTGAGGCCCCTTCACTATGTACGATGAAGAAAAAGAATCTGCCCCTGGGAATGGAGGTCTCGATAGAAAGGGGCTAGGAGGATCAGGAGGAGGAGGAGGAGGAGGAGGATGAGGAGGAGGAGGAGGAGAGAAGTTTTGAGCAGAGTACAAACGGGAGGGACGAGGAAGATGTGGGCGGCAGATGTGGGTGGAGGAAAGATGAGCGGCGCCAGCGGAAGCTGCGCAAGCAATGCTACAGCTACCCACCTCGCCTTGAGTCGCGAGAGCCCGGCGGCAGGGATCTCCAGTCAGCCCAAATCATTACCCTCTCGCCCAGAAGTGTGAATTCCAAATCTGTGTATTCATTTGATTGTCTACTCCCCTAACACATTGCTGTACGTACGGCGTGCGTACCGCCCCCCCCCGTTCCCTGGACAGACCGGCAGGGCGACCATGTTTGTACATCTTTGGGGAAACGTTAGATCTACAGTCGGAGACACATTGTGGTGAGGGACTGAAGCACCCTGCCACCACCTCCCCACGCACGCTATTCTACACATCACAATGGAGACCTTGGACTTTGACAATCCGATTTTTCTACAGATCGCAACAATCACTGTACAATCGGGCCACGTGTCCGTGCGTCCTCTGCGTCGCTTCTGCTCAGCCTCACCCTCAACCCCTCCCTCCCTTCCTCCGCCCTGCCCTCCCCTCCGCCCGGTCCTTCCTCCTGCGCGCAGCCGCCGCAGCACGTCACAGGGCCTCCCAGAAGGCAGAGAGTGGCGACCCTCCGATAGTACAGGAAGAAGATGACATAATATAACAAAATACTCTGGCCACGATGTTTTGACCATGCTGTCGGCTATTGGTGCGCATGTTTCGAGTATGTCTTGATTGTCGTCCAAGATCCGCCTGTAGGTGGACACACCCGACTTTAATGGAGGATGACGATTAATAAATGACCGGGGGTCGTGTTCACGCGGCGGCGCCCGGGATGACGATTAGGAAAAACCGTCCGCGGGCTGGAAACCTATTTCTTTTCACGTTCTCCTCCAGTCAGAAATTGAACAGAAATAGCAGGAAACTAATTTAATAGTCATCCCGCATTAATAGTAGAGCCAGAGGCTCTTGCGCCAACATCCTGCATCTCGCACAACCAGGCGAAGGATGTCGAACAAGAAACAGCGCCATACACACAAACTGTTGGCGCTCCGCGCTCCGCGCGGGGCCTCCTCGGGCGGCGCCTCCGGCGCCGCCCACCTCGCGCCCCGCGCGCCAGGGGCGGGGGGCCCAGCGCAGATCCAAGAATCAGGAGGGAAAAAAACACACAGACACAATGAATCCTCGATTCCCCAGAACATATGGGAAAATATGGGAAGTGGGGGGGAAGACAGAATTCCAGAACATGTGGGAAAATATGGGGAAATCTTTTAATTTGTGTGTATTTATTTGTGTGTCCTGGGGCCCCTTCAAAGAAATCCGCGCGGATCGTCAAAAGTTTAGTTTGTGGCGCCCTCTTGTTTTCAGATGCCCTCTACGAGTTTGGAGCTCTCCTGGAGCCACACTGGGCGTTAGCGACTCTCGGCGCTGAGACCTCTGGCATTCCTGGTGTTGCGCTCTCGCCGAGCGGTGCGGTCTGGTGTCCTGATTCAGCCACAGGCTCTGAGCCTGCTTTGGGATTAAGGCTTATGAAAGGACTTCCGGCTGCACTATTGGGTGGAAACCTTCCAGCAGGATAGCACCGGGTTTTCAGCGCCAACATCGGTGTCGCCCATTGACTCCAAGAATGCGCTGCCTAGTGACCGCATCCTCAAACAATTGTCAGAAATACCGTATGTAGGCGGTGGAGTCTCCTCACCATTTGCTTTGTGCTCCTCCTCATCCTGCCGGTGATGCTGCTCATCCTCCTTATCCTCTTCCTCCGCTATACTCTTTCTCGTCTCATGGTGCTTGTCCCCTTCCTCCTCATCTGATAAATGTGCCTGCTGTTTCAGTTCCTTTTCCTCCTCGTCTTGGACACCTGTCCAATGGCCGCTGCAGGTTCTTTCTTCACTTCTCGGTCGGGGAGAGCGGGGCGGCTTTGAGCGCCCGGTGGTTCCGTGGAATTATTGTTGGCAGCGGGTTTCAGGGGCAACGATACGGGGGATTGGCATAGGGGGGGATGCATCGACCCCCAATCGCCCACTGATCGCCGATAGGGGCCCGATAGCCCCAACTTGCCCATGAAGGTGCAAATTCACGATCGGAGGCCTATCGCTGATCAATCAGCGGTATATCGCCGATTCCAGGTCGATGCATCCCCCCCTATGCCAGCCCCCCCCTATCGTTGCCCCTCAGGGTTGCCGCAAGGATCATGATATGAGGTGCGGGGTTCCTGCGCGGGGCGTCTAGGGAAAGCACGAGCCCAGACTAGGATACGGGGAAACAGGAGGCCTGCCACTGGCCGCGCAGGGGTTGGGGGCGAGCCGTGTGATGTTCTGTGGTCGCGCTCCACCCTCCTCCGCTTGAAAAACAAGAGGTCATGCTAGGGTCGCCGCAACAGTGTAGCTTGAGAAGATGCGGTCGCCGAGGCTGCGCAGCTTTGGACCACAAACATGGTTGTTTAGGGCGTGCCGCACAGTTTCTCCTCTCGCTGGGTGTCGGCGCATCGCTCCTGCGCCATTCCATGCTGCGAGCGGGAGAAGGAGGAGGAGAAGGAAGAGGAGTCAGAGGAGGAGACATATGAGGAGAAGGATGACAACGATGATGAGGAGGACGAAGGTGATGATGAGGAAGAGGAGCAGGAAGAGGAGGAGGCGGAAAAGGAGGAGGAGGAAGAGGAGGTACATACTTACGCTTTTCTGAGGCGAGCCGATTAGCATGCAGAGGGAGGATGGGGCGCTCAGAACTTCACCATCTTGAGGCACCATCTTGAAGGCACGAGATTCCCATAGGCCCGTCCACGCGCACAATATCAGGATGCTCTACAATACCTCTGCGGACCCCCCCTGCACCTCCACGTCACATGTGGAGGGCATGCCGAACATCCTAAGACACGACAACAGTAGATACTGAACTTCACCATCGAGTGATTGGAATGCACCACCAACTGAGGTAAAGACGGGGAGGCTCACCCATTGAAGGGCTCTCGGGAGGAAGAGGAGGAGGAAACGGAGGAGAAGTAGGAGGACGCGGAGGAGGACGAGGAGGGGGAGATGAGGGGGAGATGAGGGCGCCAGCTGTCACCAGCAGAATCGTCCGAAGCTCGAAGCTCGAAAGAGGGTCGGAGGGAGGTGGTGATGATGAGGATGATGATGATGATGATGATGATGATGATGATGATGGTGATGCTGCTGAAGATGATGATGATGATGATGCTGATGGTGATGGTGGTGGTGATGCTGATGATGGTGATGATGGTGGTGCTGATGATACTGATGCTGATGATGATGATACTGACGCTGATGATGATGCTGATTATGGTGATGATGATGACGAGGAGTAGAAGGAGGACGATGACGATGACGATGACGGTGGCGATGCCGGGCGATGCTGCTTGCCGCTGCTGCTGCTGCTGATGATGATGATGACGATGATGCTGATGATGATGATGCTTACGATAGTGTTGTTGATGATTATTATGCTGGTGATGCTAATGTTGATGATGCTTCTGATGCTAATCGTGATATTGATGATGTTGATGCTGATGGTGCCGATGATGCTGATGATGATGACACGACTACTGATGGTGACACGGATGATGACGATGATGAGGATGATGATGCTGCTGCTGATGATGATGATGATGTTGTTGATGATGATGATGTTGATGATGATGTTGATGATGATGATGATGGTGATGATGATGATGATGATGGTGGTGGTGGGGTGATGATGATGATGAGGAGAGGAGGAGGAAGAGGAGGAGGAGGAGGAGGAGAAGCATGAGAGGAGGAGGAGGAGGAGGAGGAGGAGGAGGAGAGAGGAGGGAGGAGGAGGAGGGAGGAGGAGGAGTTGGAGGAGGAGGAGAAGCAGGATGAGCAGGAGGAGAGGAGGAGGAGGATTAGGTGGAAGAGGATTAGGAGGGGGAGGATTAGGGAAAGGAGGAGGAAGAAGAGGAGGAAGGGGCGCGGCAGTCGGAGACTCCTCACGCTATCAGGAATGAGGAATTAGCAGGATGACGAGGAGGGCATCCCACGGAAGTCTTACGGCCCGCAGCATCGAGCACCGAGGAGGAGCATGAGGAGAAGGCGGAGCACGCGGAGGAGCACGATGACGAGCAGGACCAGGAGCACGACGAGGAGGAGCAGGAGGAGGAGGAGGAAGAAGAGGAGCAGGAGGAGGAGCAGGAGCAAGACGGCCGCAGGAGGCCCAGGGGCCCCGCGCGAGGGCTGGGGCCCCGCCGCCACGGGGCGGTGCGGCCTGGCACCCGCTCCCCTCCGGAGGAGAGCGCGCCCCTCGACGCGGGCGCCGCGTCGTCCGAGGTCCGCCCCAGCGCCAGAGACGGGGGTCAATGCAAGCGGGGGTCAGCCAGAGCGCAGGATCTTGCAGGATCCTGCAGGGCCAGGGTCGCGTTAACCTGAGCTTGGGTGCAGGATCCTCCAGGATCTTTCAGGATCCTGCGAGGCACACCAAATAATGCTTTAAGAACCTCGTGTGGTCAGAACGATATGTTCTTAGCGCATGTATGGCTGACACTGTCGTATTTTAACATGGGCTCTAAGAACATGTCGTGGGCGGCCTACAGGGACGCCGGGACGGTCGATCCCTGCTCAAGCCGCTGCGTCTTGTGTCGTCCTTCGGGGGCGGCAACGAGGTGGTGGTGACTCGGTGGGGGTTGGATCTCATGGCAGGGTCCACGATGTCTCCCCAGATCTCGTGGCGCTTCTTATTTTTATGCGTCCCCCCCCGGGCCGCGCACATGCCGCCGGCCATGATATGCGCCCCCCCTTCTTGTACGCCTCCCTCGACCTTGGACGCCCCCGGGTTCTCCGCCTCGCCTCCGCCTCGCCTCGGGCACGTCCGCGCGCTCCGCCTCGTCGTCTGGGAGTGGGCTGCGAGGCTGTGGCGGCCTTGCGCTTGGGATTTACGTCGTCGACCAAAGTCTTTTCGCGCGTTGACGACACCTTTCGGAAAAACACGCGTCAGACACGCACGGCCCCAGCCTTGTGAATGTCTCAAATGCTGTGTTGATCTCGAGGTCTTCAGGCGTTTTCGTGGGACCCCAGAGACTTTCCTCGGGGTCCCTCTTCAGCAGCTGCGCCTCGCCGAGAGCGTGCATTCCGACGGGGTGCCCGAGTAGTCCTGAACGGCCGTGGGAGTCCTGAGCCAGACTGGGCTAGGACGAGGGTAAATCCGTTCCATGAGCGTTCCGGAGCGCTCGTAGAGCGTTCCCGATCGATCTGAGAAGGCCGCGGCGCCCGGTACATCATCCAGGGTCGTCAGATCTCAGAGTTTCTCGATGAATGGTTAATCCTCACCCGAACTTGTCCTCGTCCTGGCTTCGTCTTACTGTGTTGCTGCCCGAAAGCAGTACCTCATCGCTTCGTGAAAGACGTTGCAGCGGGAGCAGGAGTAGGAGTAGTAGGAGGAGGAGGAGGAGGAGGAGGAGGAGGAGGAGGAGGAGGAGGGGAGGAGCAGGGGAGGAGGGGGAGGGGGAGGAGGGGGAGGAGGAGGAGGAGGAGGAGGAGGAGGAGGAGGAGGAGGAGGAGGAGGAGGAGGAGGAGGAGGAGGAGGAGGAGGAGGAGGAGGAGGAGGAGTTCTCGTTGAGCGCTGATTGTGGGGGCCTCTGCGGTGGGGAGCGCGGCTCCTCGTCGCCGCGGCCGGATCCGCTCCGGGAGCCTACCCAGAGCACGTCCCTGGGCCCGGCGTTTGGCCCTTGACTCCGACGCATTCGAGTCGCGGAGGACGCTCGACAAGTATTCTTATGTTTGACCCCTCACCGTCCGGGTTCGATCATGTACCCCTTCTTAACGCTAGATTCCCGGCTTTCACACCGATGACCGCCGAAGATTGCCGAAGACCGTGTCGGGCCGCCGTCTAGACCGCCGAAGACCGCCGAAAGACCGCCGAAAGACCGCCGAAAGACCTCCGAAAACCGCCGAAAGACCGCCGGAGACCGCCAAAGACCACCGAAGACTGCCGAAGACCTTGTCGGGCCCCAGCGTCCGCGGCGGGGAGCGCGCTCGCTGGCGGTCTTCGGCGGTCGCTCGGCGGTCTTCAGTGGCCAGATGCGTGGCGATGTGTCCATGATCGAACGCGTAACCTGACTCCGACCCCTTCGCGTCGTGAAGGAAGTTCGACACAAGGTTTTCGCATCTTTTTCGACCCTTTCCCTTGGCAGCCCCAGGGCCGTCGCTGGGCCCGGGGGCCGCCCGCGAGCGACTCGTTGCGAGAGGCTGGTCCCGGGAACGGGGCGTCTAAAACTCCGGGGACGTTCGACGTGGTGAAAAGAACGTCACGAAGTCGAAGGTCTGGGTCATCGTCGCCGCCGTCGCCGTCCCCGCGGCGGTGGCGCGAGGGAGGGACCTGGTCGGCGGCTGCGTTAAGGACGGATGGCCCGTGGGGGAGAGTGTTTCTAGGCGCCCTGGTCGCCCGTGCATTCGACGAGGCACGGTCTGAATGTCGTTTCCCCCCCCCCCCCCCGGCTTCCAGCCCCGATGCCTCTGCGCTTCGTCTTTGCGTGCACCAACTTGCACCCGCGCGCCCCGCGGCTGCCCGACCGCCGTCTGAGCCCTTGCGGCCCCTGGCATGGGATTGCTCGACGAAGCTCATGGGCGGATGCATCTGATGCCCATCCATCCTGGCCTATTCGCCCCCGTCGTCGCCTGCGAGGCTCGGGTCGGACGGAAGGGGGGATGGGGAAGGGAGGGGTTACAACATCTGCTGTGTGCAGATGGTTCTGGCCCCAGTGCTGGGCGCAATTCCTCGGTACGTTGGCGCCTTCGGCGCCGGGAGACACCAGGAAAACCAGATACGTACGTGCGCTGATTCGCGACCCCTCCCCCCCCCCTGCTGTCCTCCATGGAGCTCCCGTCCTGCGGGTCGGGCCTGGATGCCTTCACCTTGGTGAACCTGGTGGGCATGCTGCAGCTGCCAGGTGGCACGTCCCCCCCGTTGGTGCAGGGCATCTGATGCGTTTGTCCGTGGGGCCTGCAAGGCCGCACCTGCAGGAGCTGCTGCCTGCACCTGTCCATGTCGGGCCCCTGCCGCATCCTTCCGGGCATATGCCGCCCGTCCTGCCGCTTTGTTGTCCCCCAGTTGCAGTGGGAGCCCATACCACAGGGCATCATTTCGATTTCTCCGATGCGATTCGATTCGAGTTCGATGGCTTCCGATTCCGATTCGATTTGACTTCGGATTCCGATTCGGGCTCCGATTTCTAGATGGAGGCCTACGAGCTTGCCGATTTCTGCCGATTCGACTTCTCCGACTCGGCTGCCGATTTCCGCCGATCCGATTCATGTCGATCGCCGATCCGACTTATCGATTCGATTATGAGGGCGCCTGTGCCAAGAAACACGATACGCTTTGCCAGGATACCTCGTTTGTCCTCGGTTTGTTTCACATTGCAGGCTTGCAGCGGTCGCGAAGAAACCGTAGCTGGCGGGGTCCCCAGAATGTCCCGACGTTGAGATGCTTGCCGCTAGCCATCAATCAACCGCCTGGACCATGGTCCCCTGAGCTTCCTCACTGGCAGCCGCTACGTAAGCGAGAAACCCAACCCTGACCCAAGATACTTCGGCGATTTTCAGGGCAGTGCTCCTTGCGATAGGCTTCTTGTGGGCTGGTCTTGATTGTACGTGAGCCGATCACGTCCTACCCGAAGGGCGGGAGGTCCATGGCTGCCTTGGGGAGCCGTTGTCCCGCGCGCTCGCCGGGCTCGCGTTTTGTCTTCTCGTTCTTCTTCCCCCTCCTCGTCCTCCTCCTCCTCCTCCTCCTCCTCTGGCATTTTTCGCGTCTGTGTGTCACCCGTTCTCGCTGCTGGGTTCTCCTGGATGGAAGACGACAGGGAGGTCCATGGGTCCCGGCGGTCCCGGCTCCTCGTCCGCATCGGCGGCCGTGGCGGCCATCCCCAGCGGAGCGCCAAGCGCGGCCGCAGGCCGCAGGCCGCCGCTGGCCGCAGGCCGCCGCTGGCCGTCGGCGGCGGCCCTCGGTGGCCGCTTGCGGTGGCCTCTGGCGGGGGCCCTCGGCGGTGGCCCTCGGCGGCGGCCGGCGACGCGAGGTGCGGCGCGTCGCGGGCTGCCCCGAGGGGCCCTGGGTTGCGGCCGACCAGCCGCGGTCCGCGGCGAGCTGCCCCGACGGGCCGCAGGCGGTGGCCGCGCAGCCGCCGGGCGCGGGCGGCGGTGGAGCCTCGGCGGCCGCGAAGCCGTGGCGCCCTTTGGGGGGGCGCACAGAACCTCGAGGAGCACTAATCACACACACACACACACTCATACACGCGCGCACGCGCACGCACACGATCACGCGCACGCGCACGCGCACACGATCACGCGCACGCGCACGCGCACGCGCATGCACACGCACACGCACACGCACACGCACACGCGCACACACACGCGCACGCGCATGCGCACGCGCACGCGCACGCGCACGCGCACGAGCACGCACACGCACACGCACACGCACACGCACACGCGCACGCACAGCATCGGCAAGAATGGCAGGATGAACACGCATGTGCAACACAATACTTCGAAGAATAGGCTTGCAAACCGCGCCCCTGCAGTGCCTCGGGGGACCCGAAGCGTTTTATAGGTCTTCGTGCGTCTTCTCGGGCTTTCGGATGTTTTCTCGCTTCGTAGTGCTCTCTAGCAGCTGCGCCTCGTCGAGGGCGTTCCAGGGATGCAAGAATCGTCCCGAACGGCCGCCGGAGGCCCGAGCTATGACCCGACAACCAGCCAGAACCCACACGGCAGGGGGGCGCCCCAAATTGTGCGGTGACCGCACTGTGTGGTGAGCCAGGGGGAATTCGGGTCACAGCACGGTTTTGGGATTCGAATCGCTCTTCGAGAAAGTCTCAGGCGAATGGGGCCTCCAAGATTCCAAAATTGTGCGGTGACGGATCGTGCGATGAGGTCCTCCGTGCTTTCGAGGTCACCGTACGGTTTGTCACCGCACCGGTCTGAGACCAAGTAACAAGAATTGTACAGACATGAACTGTTGGAGGTCCGCACTGATTTTTCGGATTTGCGCTGACCTCCCCTGGCGGCGCTTCTGGCTCCGCCCTTGGCGCGCTCCGCACGCTAGGAGTGGTTTTCCAGCGCGGACTCAGGAATTCTGCACTGATCTCGGAGACTTTATGTTTATCTTTTGTAGATATATTGTTGTTCTTCTTCTTTCAGTTTGGTGTACCCTTTTTTTTCAGGAGTATTCTTATGATTCGTAGTTTATGTAACTTCTTGGAAATGTGTGAAACTGGTCCCTCATACACGTCGGGTGCATCCAAGGAGTCGACGGGGGAGACGTGGAGGATCTTTGTTCGTAAGTTCTTGCAGATGTTTTCGCCTCCAGGTGCTTTCCAGCAGCTGCGCCTCGTCGAGAGTCTTCTGGGGGTGCCCCGATCGTCCCGAACGGCCACTGGGAGGCATGAGCTGTGACCCGAGAGGCCACCAGGTCTCGAAGAGGGATGGGAGGATTGGTAGAGGGAGGAAATGGTACCCATACCGCTACCCTTCCCTTGTTTTCCCCCTTTTGGGCTTCTGGGAGGCCCTCGCCGCCACCGCTTGGTTCGCCTCGAATCCTTATCAGAACGCGCTCCAGGAGAGGTCGGGGGAGTAGCTGTATGGGGACATTTTGGTTTCCCCAATTGGGGGTGGATGTCCTGGTCGAGGCCATGATATCTGGGGGCCCCCCCTGCGTCTTTCCACACGTCCCCTAGCCCCCCCCCGTCTGCGCACATGCCTCGGGCCAGGCCGTCATGCGCCCCCCCTCTTCCTGGCTCTTTCCTGGGCGCCCCCCAACCGTCGTCGCCGCCGCCGCCGCCGTCGTCATCGTCGTCGTCGTCGTCGTCGTCGTCATTGTCGTCGTCGTCATCGTCGTCGTCAACGTCGTCGTTATCTTCGCCGTCGTCCATTGTCTGGGAGTTTCAGCGCGGCTCACCCTGTTTGGGGAGTTTCCAGGACGCGCCTCGACGCCACGGCTGGATCAGCCTGGAGGTCTTTGCCAGAGCACATCTTGGGAGATATTCTGGGGCAAAGTTTGAGCCCTGTCACCGGCGCGCTTGTACTCAGCCCGGGTATGTCTTTTGCATGAGTTTTCCTGGCCTTCTGTACTATAATTTGTTATACCGATGTGCCGTTTCAGGTGTGGCTTCTTACGTGCGTGCGTACCGACCCCCCCTCGCGCAGGAAAGCATCACGTCGGACGATTGTGGGTAATTCTTTGCTTCTGGGGCCCTTCATGGGACCCCAGCGCCGTCGCATCTGGTGGAGATTTTCAAACTGTGTTCTCGGGTTGCGCTGGCTACCCAGCCTCAGGATAATCTTCAGCAGCTGCGCCTTTCCGAGAGTGTTCCGATGGTGCTCGAAGCGTGTCCAACGGCCGTGGGACACCCCGTATGCGACCAGAAGTTCATGCTTCCTCGCGTGGTAAGTCACAAGGTCACCAACCGAAGATGAAAAGCTAGTCCATGGGAAAGAATCGGGACTTCAGGGACCCCGTTTTGAAAAAGTCAAGGCATCGGATGTCTAGTGTATTGAGCCCGCAGAGCGGGAGTCACGACGGGCCCCCAAAGGGAAACACGCACGCAGTTGTTGCAATCAGTGGGTGTTCGGGATACGGCTTCGACGAGGGTCGTGACCTTTCTCGTGATTGTTCGATGTATTTTTTTCTCAGGGCCATCTTGGGATGCCTTGGGGATCCAGGCGGTCTTAGGAGCTAACAGAGGGCCTGTGGAGGTCCATGAGTCACGAAGTGCGTGATGGGTGTGCCGAATCGAAGCTCTCTTGAACTGTCTGAGGAGTCAGCTGAGGACCCCTGAGAGTCCATGAGACACGAAGTGCGTGATGAGTGTGCTGAATTGAGACTTCCCGTTGAGGTCCCTGGGTACGAAATGCGTGAAGGATGATCCAAATTGAAGCCTCAAGGAGCAGTCTTTGGGGCCAGCCAAGCTCCCATGATGCACGAAGTGCGTGAGGGGTGTGCCGAACTGAGGCTCCTAGGGGAGTTGTTCTGCGAGTCCCCAGTATTTTACTTGTCTCAGAGGCCTGGGGGCGCAGGAAATTCGTGAAGGATGCGCCGAAACGAGGCTTTCACAGCCCTGAGGGCGCATCTCATTAGTGCTTTCACATGCCCCAGAAGAGGAGGGATTGGCTCAGGGGTCAACCTTCGTGCCCTCCACATTTCTCAACACACTCCCAACTTCCCGCTCCCGTACCCTTGTCTCCCGATGGCTGGTACGAGCTCGCGGTCGTCAAGGACACTGGTTCGCGCAGTCCTCGATCGCGACGTCCGAGGCCGCTTGCTTGGTCCGCTTAACGAGATGGACGATGGCCCGTACGTGATTGACGACGGCCCGCAGCGGCTCAACATAGGCACGCCGCCGTCGCAGATCCCCGACACACCTCCAGACGCTGGCAGTGCAAGCGCCTCCCAAGCAGTGGCCCAGGCAGGCTTGCAGGAGATCGCAGCGATGCTCAGGCAGGAGGTCACCCCTTTCCGGCAGGCGACCACGAATCTAGAGAGTAAGATTTCGGGTATGAGCGAGGTGATCGAGACCAGGACGGGGACCCTGGAGGAGAAGGTGGAGGAGGTAGACATCCGCATCACGAGTCTTGACAACCAGGTCGATCTCGGCACCCCAGGCTCCGAGCAGTGCGTCGACCAGAAGGTTCTGGATCAGATGAAGGCGTTGAGGCTACAGGTCTCCGTGCTGATGACCCCGCGCGGCAACAGCACAGACAACCAGGACAAGGATAAGACGATCGTGATTTGGGGGTTGCGGTACTTCGAGGACTTCGACGGGGCGAAGGAGTGGGTGACAAATAAATTGTGGGAGTTTTTGGGACCTCAACCAGAGGATCTGTACGTGAAGGGGGAATTCAAAGGGGATCCTTGTCGGAAGGACCGGGACACGGCGGTGGCATTTTGCCGCAACTGCAGATTTCAGGAGGGGGGAAACGACCTGCGGGCTAAGCCGGACCAGTCCCTCCCAGAACGGGCTATGGCGAACTTCGTTTTTGGAGTGAAGTGCCTGCTGAAACAATTGGGTTGCGCTGGTCAGTGTATCTGGGCCGATCCTGCGGGAGGCAAGGTTTGAGTTTTGGGCGGCATTGCCATTCAGGCCATCATGATTTCTGGCAGGTTCCACGTGGAATATGGACGAGGGTGGGAGGCGTGGCTTACGGACTACGGGGTCCCTGACTTCCCAGACCTCGCGCAGAAAATGGCCGGCAACCTCGAGAATTCGTCGTTCAAGGGATCCGGCAAAGCCGCAACTAAGGGGACGTTCAAGGAGAAGTGGAAGGGGAAGGGCGCCCACGCCATGTAGGAGTGCCAGCGGTGTGCAAGCAGAGACGTTTCACCGCAGAGCGTTTTGGATCGTGTGCCTTCTTTGCACGTTTTTCAGGACGCTCTTCATGCCAATTCCCATGCAGCTGAAGCGGAGCAGCCTGGTCGAGCCAAATTGCCACTCGCCGCGTGCAGGGGCGGACCTTTATTTTCTTCAAACCTCAGAATTCACGATTGCATCTTGGAATATGAAAAAGGTACACAGGCTCGAAACAATTCGAAGTAGAGAAAATCGTGATTGATAACCAAATCGAGGCCTTGTGCGTACAAGAGACTTGGCGGATTCAGGCTTCCTGGTCATCATGTCGGGAGGGATCGACGGAGATAGCGAGCGAGTGGATGTAGGAGTTCTAGTCGCTTCCTGGTTTCGGAGGTCGGTGGTCGGATATTGCCAGGCTGATTCAAGAATGGCGTCGTTGAAGGCACGCGTCCCTGGAGGGAAGGTTGTGCTATTCTCGGCGCGCGCCTCGTAGTGGTAAGCCGCTCGATAGAAACAAACATATGTTCTTTCGCGATTTGGCTCGGTTCGTCCAGTCCAAATAGGCGCGCGGTCCCGCGTTGTTAGCAGGCGACTCAAATCCGATGCTCTACTACTGCATGGATGGCGCATGCGCGGCGGTGGGCGAGCACGTCCTGCCGTGCCCGGGCACGGGATGCAAGGGCGATGCCAATGGGCAGTTGCTCGTGGAGACGCTCGCACATCTCAGCATGTGCCTGGCGAACATGTGTTCGATGCCTCGATTGGCGGCCTTGCAACCTGCGACGCCGTTGGCGCCAGGGCAGGCGTCCGCGACAGCGGGCAGACTCATTCACATATCGATTTTTCTGTTGTGAGCAGGGGTGGCTGCAGAACGTCAAATTTG